TGAAGTTTATTCCCGCTTCTGGAGAATATAAATATTCTTGTGTCTTAAATATATATTCGAAAATAAATAAACTTTTGAATGTATCAAATCAATTTGAACAAATGTATCTTTAAAATTAATCAGAAAAGTGATTAGACTTGAAGAAAACTTAAAAATACTTCTGACCGTATTATAACAAGTAAATAAATAAATAAATAAAATTTTATCACCCATGGCCGCAATGAAATGGAATCATTGAAGTTGCCAGAACTTTCCATTTTTCCTTCTATTCGTCAAGGTTATCCATATTGCACAGACATTTATCATCCAACCATTTATGCTGCTCGAAAACAAAAAATGATATGTGGTCGATTTCGCAGAGCAAAAATCTAACAAAAATGACAAATGTGTTGACATCGAACGACTGTTTTCATTTTAACGTGTACTTATTCCGTGATGCTTATGCAAAACCTAAACTTTTTTTTCTTTTTGGTAGAACTCAACGACACCTTACAACATGTCACATTAACACAAGAATCGACCACTCCACTACATGGCAAGCAACAATTTTCCGAAACCTTTCTTGAAATATTTGTCTCGTCCAAGGATATGTCCAAACGACAAATGGGTTTATATTTTGTACGATTCAAACTCCTTATTAATTAATTTTTTTAAAATGAAGTTCAAAACTTATGTCATTCTCATGCACTAGTTCCTATCACATTGTAATTTTTATTTTGGCCAGATGACGGAAGAATTGAATGTAATTGATCGAAATAAAATCTAGCAAACGAAAGCCACTCGCTTATGATTTATTCATCAAGAAGGTAATGATTAATGTTTTATTTCAAGGATAATGTTATATACACATAACAAATATATACATATTTATATGTATATATACGTGCATATACATACATAAATACACATATATAAACATAATTCAATATTTTGACAAGGCAAGTTACATGGTGAAATGCTAAATCTAGTTATGTTAAATATAACTTAAAGCAACTGATAATCTAATTTTTTTTATTAAGAATTGATTATCTCTAAAGTTTAGAGAAGATAAAGAGGTGGGGGAGGAAGTTAACATATATATAAATATAAGCAATTCGTCGTCTTCCCCCGACAATATCGCTTCCCATTTCACTATCACACCATGTAGCCAAAAGAAAAGACAAGGAAATAGAAGAAATAAGATTTTGCGTGATTGATTAACCGTTATGTGTGTTGTACATCCTGGCACGTAATTATGGAATAGGATCTTATGTAAAAATATCACTTAATTATTGAAAAGAAACCAAGTCTCCCAACTCGATTTGATCATGCCTTTTCTATCTTTACATGCCTTAAACAGACAGCTTTGAGTGAGCTAATCTTGTAAGTGATGTTGGTATTAAATATTATCATCCAAGTAATCAAGGGAACTCCTGTTTTGGCTTCTTGCTTTTACTATACTAGTTGAAAAATTATTGTACTTCTTGTCGTGTTCCATGAAAATAACAGATGACAAAAGCATATATATTAATGAAAAGCGTCATATTCAAAAAAAAAAAAAAAGAAAAAGAAAAGGAAAATACAAAATTGAGCTGCGGAACCCTGTTTTGCCTTCTTGCTTTTACTATACAAGTTGAAAAACTATTGTACTTCTTGTCGTGTTCCATGAAAATAACAGAAGACAAAAGCATATATATTGATGAAAAGCGTCATATTAAAAACAAAAACAAAAAAAAAGAAAAGAAAAGGAAAATTCAAAATTGAGCTGCCCTAGAACTCGAAGATATAGTTATCAAAAAGATAAAATTGTTTAGTATTGATTAGACTAATTAAAAGCTGTGCTACTTTTATACATTAAACTAATGAATGTGGGGATAGTATTTTAATTTTAGCTTTGTTGTTTTTCTTTTCCTCTTTATTTTTTTTTATGAATGTTTTATCTTATTACTTGAATTATCTTCTATTTTTTACTTCTTTCTCGGTAAGATAATGATACACTTACCGATGAAAATAACCAATCTTTGTCTTATCTTATCCAAATGAAAATTTTAGCATGGAAGAAGTGCTAAGCCAGTGGGCGGAGTGTTCATGTGCATTTTCTGAGTTGGAAGTAAATCTTCCATGATTGATGAGCGAGGCATTATATATATAATGACTACTCTTCATATATTTGCTGTTTCGCATGTGGGTGAGATCTTCTCTAAGTGAGAAAATTTTTTTTGTCTGTTTAATCCAACCATACTAATTATACCATCTACCATTTTTGGTTAATCCTAGGTTTGAGGTCAAAAGATCAAAGCTCCAAGAAAAAAGGGGAGAAAATTAAAACTAAAAAGGCGGAGTAAATACTCCTATTTAATTGGATATTGATGAATCCAATATTGATTAGAAAGGCAATAATTTTTATATGATATGATTCAACGTATTTTAGAAGGCAATTTCAATGCTAAATTATTGGTGGGAGATGAATAGTGAATATTTTGATGATAAGATGAGCAATTTTATTAAAGTTCAAGTGGTTTATATATATATATGAATTAATTTCCCGATAACTAGATTTTTAGGTTGAATTGCCTTTGATAGGTGTGAAGATGAGATTAGTGTATTTATGGATGTTATGATCAATAGAAATCTCAAATACGCATGATTTTTTTTTTCTTTTGAAAAAAGGGTTCAAATTAAGTTGAAACGATGTTAATATCGATTGCTGTAAGCCAGTAAGGGGCAAAATTAACATAGGACAGATGCATGAGGTAGAGAACAAGGGATGGAACATATATATGGATAATATTTGAGAGGAAGGGAGCTATCTGGGGAAGAGCTAGCGGTATGGCAAGCATTTGGGTATGCATGAAAATCCTAAGAGATGTCGTTTATTGTTGGAGAGAATAGTTTGTTCATTGTTGGGGGTCTTGGAGAGTTGGATTAAGGGGCAAAGGTGGTGCCAGAACAAACTACAAATGGTTCCACGTGATGCGGGCCTTTTGGAAGGGAGTATGGGAATGGGACTGTCATTGTCCTTACTTGTGGCGGCTGTGTGTCATTACCAAACAAATTCAGCCGGAGAGAGATTCGGTTTTGCTTTGCCCCCTGCTCTCTACCTTTAATTTTCTCCATCGCCCTCCTAATTACTCAAATGTTTACCTACAAAGTACTACGTTATTATTTGATTATGAGAAAATTCCTTCTTCCTTTGGGAGGGAGGGAATAATATTTCATGATAACATTCTTCGTTAATATTCATGGAAGATCTAGTTACTGTGCTAATTATAACATGATTTGATAAGATCCAGCCGATTTAATTATTTATTTTCAGCTGGAAGAATGTAAGTTACATCAAAGTTGTGATTAGTATGGATATAAGAATTGTTAAACTGCATTCATTATGAAATATTGTTCTCACGATTTTATTTTTGAAAAAAACACTTCCATAGCATAAAAGTGTGCCTTTATTAGTAAGTCACAATTTATATCTTTGACCGTTAAATGTGAGATCGTATACCAAATTTAATATGTTACCGTAAGATCATGTTTCATATATAAGCTAATTAAGCTTCCACCTCATCATCCCAAAATAATAGTTTCACCTGTCCAACCCATTAGGCTACGGGGTACTAGTCAACCGGGTTAACTGGCAATGCTTTAATCCATAGGCATAAATTTTAAAATGGACGAGTTAATTAGTACAGGACTGAAATTGAGAAAAGTAGGCAGAGTTATTGGAATTGATAAGTGATTGATGAGGATGTAATTGCATGGGAACTTGACGGTATTATTATTTATATCATCAAAAGAATGTTGCAGCATTTAAAGACAAACACCACGACAATGTTGCTGGTATTCCTTTCCATTCTATATAACACAACCTTCCAAATCTCCGGATATAAAAAACTAATTTTAAAACCCAATAAAATATTCGCAGAAGAATACATTTTACAGTGAAAGCTCTGCCAATCCACTATGGATTCTAGCAAGCTGTTCTTCTGATTGATTCAATTGGTGGGCCAGCTACTCCTTTGGATTTATTTGACAGCCTTAGCCCTACCCCATCAAGTCCAAGAACTTCAAATGAAACGAGCTAGATATTACATCTTCGGATCTACAAAGTTGTAATCGGAATTGAATGATCATGTAATCTAATGGTATCTCTTTTTAGTATTTAATAAAATTAATTGAGCTCTTTTTGTTAAATCTTGAAATGATGGTAAATATGGTAGGTAAATAGGGAGAAATATTGTCGACAGTCATGATAAAATATTAAATTTTTAATTTTAAAAATTAAAAATTCAAATCTTGACGGCTCTAAATAAGTAATTTGGGCTAATTATAAAGTGGTTAAGAGATCATTAATATTATCACAAAATGGTGGTTAAAATGAATTCTTATTTTTTATTTGCTCGTAAATATTTGGTTAAGTAATTGATGTATCATCCCTTTGCTCAAAGAATATAAAAGTTCAAATCTTCTTTCTTCAAATTAAAAAAAAAAAAATTCCAATCTTTCAACATCTATGGATCTTGTTCGGTAGCTAGTCCCTGCCCTCCTCCCCAAAGCATTTCCTTGCAGACTTTGGCAACCATTTCAACGATGGTTTGGCGCTAAGGGTAGAGTTGAGACTTGAGACACTATTACACACTACTCGAGTTGATCTAATTAATCCAATGATAAAAGTGCAAGTATTTGGAAACATTCAGGATGCGATGTTTACAATATATTGACAGTATTTCAGGAAGGCGTTTGCACCAAATTTTTGTAATTGGGTCCTGATACATAGGCTGATAGAGTGAGCCAAAGTTTCGATGCGGACAAATCCAATGTAAAATTTAAGGGTGGCTTTATAGGATTGGCTCGAGTATTGGTAGATATCTATTTGTTGTACTAGGATGCCATACCTAAAACGAAAAACCTAAGCCAGAGTATGGGACAAAATACATATTAACTTTTGCAATGAATGAAGTTGCTTGAAAAAAAAAAGTAGTAATTAATTACCCTAATTTTGTTTTTACATGAAGAGAGGTAATTCTATTGATGGCCTTTTTATATTATCAATAGAGATACAAAAAGTTTAGCTAATCGAGCTCCTTATTGGGTTCGTAGTATCTCTTGTCTTGCCTTTTTGTTCATCACTAAAAGGTTTATCACATGACACCATCAACATAAAAAAAAAAAAAGGCATTTTCCTCAAACTTTGCCTTTCAGTCTTCCTTTTAACTTGTAGCAAAAATCCCAACTCTTCAATCAGTTTTCTCTCCTCCCATCAATGTTATTTTCTTGGCAGAAAGGCCAGTGATATGCCAAGGTCTGTTTTGTAATGACATCTTTAACAGACAGTAGAGACAAAACCGGTTCAGCTGTTTCTCTGTTGAACCCAGTTTGAGAATACTTCAAGAGTGTTCATGTCAGCTCTGTAATGCTTTTGTGTGAATTCAAGCAGCATAGGCCATGTAAAATCTGGATATACTCTGGGGCTGTATTCGTCAACCAACTCTTTTGGTGGGGTAACCACTTTATCACCCTTCGGGCACAAAAAGAAAGCAAGAGATTTTCTTGGGGTGTGGCTGTTCACAACCGCCCGGTGCAAGCAACTTTTGTATCTCCCATTTGACAGAGCCTGAAAATTAAAGCCCAACCAAGATTAATCAACATTACTCCAAAACTTTATGAAGCTATTTAATCAAACCATCACTACCAAAAAGAATATGTATCGATTAACTGAAAAGTATATTACCATGAAGGTGTCGCCAATGTTAACGACAAAAGCTTTGAAATTTGGGCTAATTGAACGCCACTCATTGTCTACAAACACTTGAAGACCACCAACTCGGTCTTGGTGAAGGATAGTTAAAGACGTTGGATCGCAATGAGGCCCTGTTCCTAAAGTGAGGTCTGGTTTTTGGCAAGGCGGATAGTAATTCAGCCTCATTATTGAATCATTTTCCTCAAAAAATTCCCTGAAATGTGCTCTGCCTACACCCAGACTAATGGCTAAAAGCTCCATGATCCCTAGAGAAAGCTTGCTCATGGCCTCGCAGTACTCCTGGTAAACCCTCCTAGAGACAAAAACACTCAAGATTTCAGCATTCAGGAACATAATAACAATCAACATGACAGTCCATAGAAAAAGGACAAAGAAAGCTTTTAGCCTTTCACAGGAAAAAAACAAATTTTCTCTTTGTTTTTTAAAATGTTAACATCCTAATTTCTTACCCGAAATGCCTGAATTCATCTCCCATTTTATTAACAAGGTAGTCTTCAACCATCTTGGATGAGTTTTTCTCAGCTGAATATTGAAAAGAAAGTGTTTCCTTCCAAGGCAGCTTGGAGGAGAATCTGCCAGTGAAGCTACTAGCATATCCACAGTGCTCACCAAGTTTTCTCTGAGCCCTTTGCTTTTCATTGAGTGGCAATTCAAAGAAGTTATCGATGTACTTATGAGCATCATCCAGGAGTGTTGCATCGACTCCATGATTAACTACAAGAAAGAAACCATGCTGCTGGCATGCCTTGCCGACAAGCCTTGAAGCTTCCATTGCAGCAACAGGGTCACCAGACAGGAAGCCCCCTAGGTCAATGAGGGGTACTTGGAGTTCCGGTGCATTAGCGCCAGGCTTTTCGTCGTCAGGCCATATAAATTGTTTTGGTATGTGGGATTGGAGTTTAAGCAGAGAGGCATCAAAAACCAGTTGTTCTTGCTCATCTTTTCTTTCATCTTTCGGATGGTGTGGCATGGAGGCTCTCTTGGAGATGCAGTCAATTGCCATTGCATGAAGAGTAAATATTTTGTGAGGCCTAAGAAAGATGGATATATGTATATATATGAGTGATTTTGAGAGTATAAGAGGCGCTAAGAGATAGACTGAGACGGAGAAGGGAATAGTCAGTTATTGGAAAAGAAGAGGAGGGACTGAGGGAGCGGCATAAGTTTGAGAGGTGTGATGAAAGAAACGCCAAGGCCGCTCTCATTGGGGAAATTAGTGAACAAAATTGGGAATCTTATAGCTCCTTTATCCCTCCCTCCCTCCCTTACTCTCTCCATCTTTATTGAATTTAATTTTTTTTTTTTTTTGCAAACAAGGGCTCCACGAAAGGGAGAATTGCAGTGTTGGTGCTTGTCAATTGGAAAATTAGGTAATCTGCTACAGTTTCTAGGGGTTATTGTCTTTATATATATATATATATATATATAGTTTGCCAGGAAAGCGTTTCCTAATGGTACTAATGTCACCTGCTAAGACCTCACTGTCTTCTAGCAAGGGGGTTTTTGTGTCCTTGTCGAACCCATAAATCTCTTTACCTAAAGGCAAAGCTCAACCCGAGACCTTCCTTTACGGCAAGAAATCCTTTGAACTAAACCCCGATGATATTGAAAGTGTGTGAGAAGACACCCAACACCCCCCCCCCCCCCCCCCCCCAAAAAAAAAAAAAAAAAGAAAAAAAACCAATTGCTGAAATTCTCTTGTTACAATCTAACTCATCATGATTATTTTCAATCTTCTTTCTTATGTATTAATTGATCCTGCTAGCAACACTTAAAAACAAACATACAGGTATACAGTACAGCATATTAAAACAGAAAAACACAGGGAGCAACGTGACAAGACTCAAAAAATACTTGAAATAAGTAAAAATCTTATAGCAGGTATAGCTCACCAGAACGATTGCCTGTATACTACAAGGAAAAGATACAGAAAACTTTCTGTTGGATATCAGCAAGATCTTTCAGTGCAACAAAATCACAGAAACTAAATAGCCTGAGACTGGGAGCTAGCTTTCAAATTTCATGTGAAGGCAACGGATTTTGAGCAACACACAATCTTTACATTTTTTTTTTCTGTTGCGTATCCAACTCCCAATGACTTCTGATAAGTAGAGTGCTTCTTCAAGCCTGTATGCTATGGGTGAAATGGGGTTTCCCGTGAGTCTAAGATGTCTATTTATAAGGTTCCTATGGACTAAAAATCCAAGGCATGCATGTTTCCTGACTTTTTTTCCCCGACTAACTAACCTCAATTTTGATGACGACAATCTGATTTGTAGCCGCATCTTGCGTTCACAAGTTCAATGTGTCCCGTAAGATGACTTTTGACTGAAGCAGAGTAACACTGAAACTTAAGTAAACTGTGGTAATTATTGCCGTGTTTTGGATTTCTTCTGCTATTTGTTTTTGGGCTAAAAATTTAATGAAAATTTATCATTTTTGTATACATTGTTATAGATTTGCATGAAGATTGTAATAGTAGATAGCATATTTTATCATGTGTCCAATGAAACCAACATTTTTTAAAATATATAATTAATAACGTAGTACTACGTTAATCTAACAGATTGATGGCAAAAGTATAAATGGTGAAATCTTTTCATTTTGGTATATTAATTTATCTATAATAATCCAAAAAAAAAATAATAATGCAACCTAAAAGCCCTAATTCCCTACCTCTTGCAATTCCCTTTAGACGTTTAGATGTTGAATTACTTCTATTTTTTACAAGGTCACTGCCTACTGAACAAATTTATTTTAAACTCAAAGCTAGATATGGCTACAACTTTTATTTATGTAAAATCAGCAGTTTTTTTTTTTTTTAATCCAAAGCTACGAGACATATTTTCTGATCTCAGTCACTGCATTTTTATTTTTCAATATTGTGGTCCAGAATTTGAGTTTTCTGTCATGTTTAGATAAAGATATATACATACGTATGAAGAATAAACCAAGAGAGAGAAAGAGAAAGTATATATTAATACCAAGTTTTTACCACCTCACTATTTTGTATGTATCTATGCAAACTACTAAAGTTGTCCCTCTCCAAACTTTTAAAGCTTGGCATTAAAAATGATTTAGAATCAATTTTGAAAAATGTCTTTATTTATTATAAGAGATGAGTCGGAAGTGAAATTGGCTGAAACTGTTATGAGAGATGGACTAGAAGTGAAATCAAACCTAATGGTTTTATTTGTATTCAAAACTTAAGTCCAATAAACATTTTATTTCATCATGTTTTGGATCCAAAAAAATCCCATTCTCTAACTTTTAATCTATATATCTTTAATTGCCCTAAAAATAAATAAATAAAAATATTATATTATAATAAACTAATAAATTTAAATGTAATAATAATGGATTAATTTTTAAAAATAATATATGCATACATATTTTTTTAACTTGAGAATTAAATTCAAGTAATTATAAAAAATTTAAAATAAATGAAAAGTATATATACATACTATTAAACATATTTAGATTATATTTTTATTTATATAAAATTATTATGATTACAAATAATTAAATAATTAAAAATATTTTACTCATTGATTATCATTTTGTTTGAGAATGTGTGAATTTAAAATTTTATATAGTTATTAAATTAAAATTTTATTTTTTATAAAAAATAAGAGAAATTTGTGACCCGGGCAATGCCTAGAGTTTTTTAGTATTTTTTTTTTTTTTAAGTTGACGACTTATAGAGATTAAAAAAAGTAAAAATAAAGAAATTGTATCTAAGATAAAAAGCTTTTCTTTTTTATTATTTGGCAAAAAGGATTTAAATTAAACTTGTCGACTATAAATGCATGTACCAATTATAACCAAAAAAAAATTAATTTCATAATTTGTTATATTGATAATTAAGCGGCTTTTTTACATAAGAATAGTTATGTGGATCATATTGTGCTACTTTATCATATTATTGATTGTATTATTAGTAAAAATTAATATTTGATACACTATTAGTATAAAATTTTAATTATACAAACGGTGTTAAGAATGCAACAGATATCTCATTTTTTATTAATTTTTTATTTTTTAAAATATATTTAGGACATATGTGTTACTCTATTAACGTCACTTATGCAATTAAAATTTTACACTGATAATGTATTAAATGTTAACTCAGTAAATTTAGAATGAATAAAGATTTTCAGTAAAATATATACAATTCTTAAAATCATTTTCTTATTTTTTTTCTTCCTATATAGTTTAACGTTGATATTAGCCTACTTATACTTACCTGAGGATATTAGTCTACCGTCCAAATTGAAAAGAATTGCTTCTATAAATGCATAAATACGTTCATACAATACAATTGTTGGTTGATTTTTTTAGAAAGGCCTCTGATTGTTCAAGGGATCAAAGGATTTTGTCCTTGATACTTCTAACAAGAGCAAAAATAGGTGACACAAATGAAGAAGTTTGATCTCTTCAAAATAAAAAAAAAAAAAAAAAAGAAGAAGAAGAAGAAGAAAGGAAGTTTGACAATTGTTTAAGTTAAAACTATTCCTATGTGCATGAATGATAGAGCGAAAATGCTTTGAAAATTAAGATTAATATAATTGCATTGTATTTGTAGTTTCTGGAATCCTTTTACATCTTTGAAACTCATATATTTATACATGAAAAAAGAAATAAAATTTTACGACGTTCCTAAACTAAAAAAAAAAACGATTAAGTGGGTGTTTGGTTCAATTAATGGAAGAGTTTATCTAATGCAAAAGCAAAAGTCAAGTATTTAATTTTGAAAATTTTAAAATTTTTAATTGCAAGAAGCATATTAGTATTTTTTATGCAAAGTTATAAATCAAAATGTTTTTCAAAAGTACTAATTTTAATAAGAATTCTTTAATAAAAATTTTTACAGTCTCATTTTACTTTTCACTAATTCACAAAATTATAAGGAGAATTATATTTTGTCTCATTATTTTTTAATTTATCTTTTTTTATTGAATTCATTTGTATTTTATTATAATTAACAAAATTATCTTTTTATTTTATTTATTTTTTCACTTAAAAATTTATGATTTAATTTAATAAAGTTGACTATTTATTTTTTTATTTTTTAAAAAATTTACAAAAATATTATCAAATATTCATTTTTCAATATTCTGCAGCACTTCTATTTTAAGTTTATCAAAAGTTATTTAAAATTTTCTTTACAATACTTTAGAACAATCCTATTCCGACAGTACTTATTATAAAAGTTTCAGTTGGGTCAAATAAGCCCTTCTTTATCCTCACGTGCAAAATTATGGATTAACTATTTACACACTTCATTTAATTCAAGGTCTAAATTAGTTAAGCTTGGTCTAATTCAAAGCCTAGATGCCTAATTTTTAATTTTTATTTCACTTATTTATCTTTATTCATTAATTTATAATTTTAAGTTGTATTTATCTTTGTTTACTTTTTTATTTACTTTATCTTTATTTTCTTTTACTTTTATTTATCTTTTTTACTTTTATTTTTGTTTATCTTTACTATTTATCTTTATTGATTTTTGTTTAGTTATTGATTTATCTTTTTTTTAAAAAAAGTAAAATAAAAAAGAAAAAAATTTGAAAATCACAAAATGGTGGAAAAGGTTGAGAAATAAAGGGGATTTTATCTTTAGCTAATAATTCATGTTTTAGAATTAAAATTGAGTAGGGATTCTTGGAGATAAATCCTAATTTTAAGGGATTATTATTTTTTGGTGATAATATATAATTTTTAAGAGTTTTATTCCTATTTAATTTAGAATACTTATCAAATCAGAGTAATGTCCTTATAAATAGTCCAACATTCAATATTAAGAGATATAACAATCACAAAAGAGAAATTGAGATTAAAGAGTTTTAGACAATTTAAATCCAAATTTTACTTTTTCAGTTCCTGATGATTTTCTAACGAGGTTCTCAAGTTTTGACAAAATTTTCAGATTGTGGTGACTTTTTTCAGCAAATGTTGAATCTTCTGATGAAGATTCGATGATATATCCAAATTCTAGTGACAATTCCTAATTTCCCAACCGTTATCCTAATTCGATCTAACTCATGGGTTTTGACCTAAAATCTGTCACCTGTTGAGCCATTATTGAGCCAAGTTGTTGAGCCAAACCAAATAGCTACACTAGTCATGAGTCAAGCCATTTTTTAAGTGAGCCAAACCAAAATTTTTAAGTATATTTTTATTTCATTTATGAATTTATTTAAAAATAAAAATATCTTTAAGAAAGAATAATT